TGTCTAATTTTTGGAAATTTTACTGATATGTGCAATCGAAAAGCCTGTACTGACATGCAGGGTTGAACTATTCATCAGAATGTCATTTCACTATCTAGCCCAACAGACCCCTGGAAACCAATTCCACCGCTCCAAAATCTTATCTAGTCAAGGTGGTCTCCTTACCGTCTTCAAACCATCATGCTTCTTCCGAGCTTTCTCCTGCCTTCATTCCTTGTTTAAACCCTTCTCATCCAAAGACTTCCCTTCCTTTATAACTATCTAAAAGTCAACAAGGCTTTCCTTATCACTACATTTATCCTTCTCGCATGTGTAGACTTCTACCCCTTTAGGTAGAGTTCATTCCAAACACTAGTTTGGACCAAGCCAATTATATAAGAATCACTTCGGGGAGATTAAACAAGACGATTTCCAGGGTCTCAGTGAAGATTAAGAGAATCAGAATTTCCAAGATTGGGGCACAGGAGCCAATATATTCATATTTCAAAAGCCCTCCCAAATGATTCTGATTCATAGTCTGGCTTAGGAATAATTCTTCTATACTATAGAGTCTTAAATTAGTCATAAAATAGTTTGATTATATTTAAGTAAACATTATTTATGTGTGCTTTCCAGAACTTTTTTAGAGACAAAAGGAAGTCATAAAATAAAAATAATGTTTAACCCTAATCATAATAGTTGCATGTTTAACTTAAGACTTCAAATTAAACATCAAATGTGCATGTCCTATGTTAAATTATACATATGAAGACCTTAATTTTGAAACAAATCCTTTCAAATCCAAGAGTAAACTTTTGACTCAGATATGCAGAAGCATTTGTGAAAACAGTATATTGATATTATCATAGGAGGGCATCTGTCACAAAGAAAGTAACGTAATGAAGTGTATCCAAATGGGCAGCAACCAACATTCACTTAAAAACAAAAGTTAACCTAAATATAGTCCACTAACCTGTTTGTTGTTCTCTGCCATGGAAAGCTGCAATGTCAAGAGCATGGAGTCTGCACCACAAACAGTAGTTCTCTCAGAATCACAGAGTGTGTGCCAATTCCGTCTGAAGTCTTTAATCATATCCAAGACAGACTTCTGATTAAGCACAGCCATCCTCTTAAATTGGGACAGAATGCAATGTTACAAAGCCTTAGTTTAATTGGAAATTAATATTGAACATGTGTAGCAAGCAGAGTTAGAGGAAAATAAGTAATGAATGAGAGGTCATTTCATATTTACTAAGATTGCTTTTAATTAAATTTAGAACAGAATAAAACAATTTCTGCCCAATCATATTTTCCTCTCCTTTCATTTCTTAAGCCAAGCCTTTTGAAATAACAAAATCCAACCTTCAGTCTGAGAATTCTTACAAAACAGATACACCAATTCTGCAAACTTATAATTATAGACACAGACATAGCTAATTAAAGCTGTATTTAAAAATATTTGTTTTGAGATAGATGGTAATATCTGTGGTAGATTGGGGGAGTGGGGTGAGCCAATTTCCCCCCATCCTTATATTGTCCCAAAAGAAATGGTGTATTTTTCCACCCCTTTGAATCTGGGTTGGCCTCGTGACTGGATTTGGCCAATAGAATGTGGCAAGAATGACACTGTGGGAGTTCCAAGCCTAGACCTCAAAAGGTCCATGTAGAAAGGAGTTAATGTAGAAAGGCCTGACTGCTATCCTTTGAAAGGTCTGCTTACACGGTTGGCCCTTGGCTGGCATCTGGGAACATAGATTTCAGGAGGGTTTCCAGTAACAGTGGCTCACTGTGCCTAACCTGTTTATACGAACAATATAGTTTATGCTGAACACATGCTTTCCTTCTCAGTCTGGAATTTTGAAACAAAGACAGAGGATGCCTACGTGTTCAGCCTCAGCAAAAATCCTGGGCATTGAGTCTCTAAAGAGCTTCCCTGACAGGCAACATTTCATATGCGCTGTCCCAACTTGTCGGTGGAGGAATTAAGCACGTCCTGTGTGACTCCGCTAAGAGGACTCATGGGAGCTTGAGCTGGTCTCCTCTGGACTTTGCCCCATGCACTTTCTCCCTTTCCTTATTTTCCTTAATATCTTTCTGCTGTTATAAATTATACCTGTGAGCATGACTATATGCCGAGTGGGCCACCTGATATAAAACCTTGAAGCTTTAGCTCTTACCCTCGCTATTCTCAGATATGGAGAAGTCCCAGCTAGCCTGCTGGAGAGGCCATATGGAGGAGATCCAAGGTGCTCCGACTGACAACCAATACCGACTCACAGACACGTCAGTGAGGGTATCTTAAGAATATCCGGCTCCAATCCACCTGCCAGATGCACTGCAGCCACATGAGCAACCCTGGGGTCTCACCGGGCCTGCCTGGCGGGAAAGACCAGCAGGACCACCTGGCCAATTTGCTGATCCACAGGGTCAGAAGCATATATGTTGTTTTCATGCCACTAAGTTTTGGGGTGGTTTGTTCCACAGCAATAGACAACCAACACAATAGCTAATTTCGGAGCTTTCTTGGTGCCAAATACTATTTAAAAGATTAATATTTATTACCTCATTCAATCTTCACAAGGGTCCTATGAGGAAGGTCTATTATTATCCTCATTTTACATCTGAAAACAGTGAAGCCCTACGTCACTCAGTTAGCAAATGTTCAAACAGAACTAACCCAAGATGCCTGCCTAACTCCATTAAGCTGTGCTCTTTAATCACTGTACTACGTAACTTCTCCTGATAGACAAAAGCCTTTCAAAATAATTGGATATAGTCCCAATGTTTTACATACCCAAGCCTGGGCAAGGCAGCCAATTCCTTTCTCTGAGTTTACAGACATGCCTAAAAGTTTGGGGCTTTTTCCCTACTTTAAGTACCCCAGTCTCCAACGTATTCACATGCCATTATCTTATTTTGACTATTTAACTGTACACATCCCATTTACTTACTCTTTCTGTGATCTTTTTCTTCTTTTTTTATGGGGCATAAACAAAATCCCAGATGTTCACTGTGTATCTTGGGTTTATATGATCAGAAAACATGGGCATTAAAAAAAAAGAAATTAAATGGGCATATGCCATTTACAAAATAGTAATTTATAGACATAATTAGTGATGTCACTTAAAAATATAGGTATAAGACTGTATATAAAAGTATCTGTATATATACAAATCCTAGTAAATAGCTAAGAATTATATATCTCTTCAAAATATCCCCGTTACCTCTCATAAGAAAAAAAACTTCGGTGATATGATCAGTTTGTCTGAAATAAATCTTTAGTAAATTATTCACTGGTATTATTTAAAGGTACTGTGAGCTCAGATTGCTAAGAATGAAGACTGATTTGGAATTAGACTGTTCTGAATCCTGGCTCCAACACCTTCTAGTTGTGAGATCTTTACCAAGTTATGTCGCTTCTCCCTGCCTCAGCTTCCTCGCACTGAAAATGAAAATAACAACAGTTCCTACCTCACAGCGTTTTGTGAAAAGTAAATGACATAAGTACAAGTTAAGCTTTTAAAACAGTGCCTGGCACATATAAAGGCCAAAAGTCTCATCCAGGAGTCAGCATACTTTTTAGAGAAAGCCAAATAGCAAATATTTGAGGAGTGCAGGCCATATAGTCTCTGTCACAACTACTCAACTTGACCTTGCAGTGTGAAAATAGCCACGGACAATACGTAAACAAATGAACATCAACAAAACTTAATACAAACTGAAATTTGACTTTCATATAATTTTCAGACGTTTTCACACATCACAGAATATTCTTCTTCTTTAGATCTTTTTTTATCAACCATCTAAAAATGTAAAATCCATTCTTAGCAAGGGAAGTGGCTAAACAAAAACAGACAGTGCCAAGGGTTTGCCAACACCTGGTCTAGTCTCAACTCTTCCAGTAGCTAGCTAGCTGTGTGACCCTAGGCAGTAAGAGTTACATTTGACTGCCCAGATAGAGGTATCATCAAATAGAAAACAGGAATAATACCTTCCAGCCAATTACAAGGAGTCAATGAGACAATGAATATGCACTCTGGGTGTCAGGCTGCACTGCACAAAAACAATAGAAGGCAGCAGTAATTACACTTGTTCTAAGAAACTGGACTCCAAGCTGTACTAGACCAAAAATTGAAAGACAGGAAATTATCACTGGGGAGACAGTGTGAAATGATTAAAAGAACTACACGTTTGAGTCAGTCAGACAGAAGAGGGTCCACATCCAGGCTCGCCCATTTATTATTAGCTGTCTGCCCTTCAGTATTTGAAATCTCTGATGAGCATTTCTTTCTTCATGTATAAAAAAGGGAGGATATCTCCTGACTCACAAAATTGCGAGACCGTTCGTGAGACAAGTAAATAATCCATCTAGTGCCTGGCACTGAGTAAGTAAGTACTCGATTAAAAAAAAAAAAAGCAGTCGTTGCTGCTGTCGTTGTGAGAACGTAGGTCCTAAATGTCCCTTGGGAGGATATCAAAGGGAAAGAGCGAATGTCGCGAAATTGGAGTCTGCCTGTATTTGGGGGACTAGGACCCTGGTTTCCTGCCTAAATAATGAACCCAAGTAGGCTTCTAAGGGCCTCAGTCTTCAACTCCACCCATTACTAGATATTGCAAACTCTGTTCAACACATCCCGACCGAAGCAGGCTCCAGAGCGAAGCCACCGCACAAATATTAATAATACCCTAAACGGTCATATGACGCTTGGCTGTCACCGAAAAACTCGCGGCCTGAATCACCATTTAACGTGTGACAACAGCGGGGTGAAGAAAGGCGAGACTCACCTGGCCCGGGGGAGAAGCTGGAGGTGTAAATCCAACAGAAGTAAGGCGCTGCCCAGCTTTGCGGTCTCTCTGCGGTTCGAATCGTCCCGGGTTGCATTTTAAATCTCGCGGGAGCGTCTGGGAGCCAATCACCGCCCGCGCCCTCTGACCCGGAAGCCGAATCGACGCGAGCCGCGGCAACCCCCAGTGGCAACCAGGTACCCTCCGCCCGCTGCCCGGTTCCCTCCGGTGCGTATCCAGCAGCCCAAGGGGTCGCGCCGCTTCGCCACCGACTGTCCCGGGCTCCCCGGGCGGTTTTCCACCCCTCTCCCCTCCGACCTCGGGCTCGGGGAGGCGGTAGCGGGGTCTCTCACGGGGCCTGCCTGACCCTGGGAGAGGCGTCGGGGCTCTTTGCAGTAACTCCTTTTATTCCCTCCCTCCTCTACCCTGCAAGTGCAGCCCGCCCTGTGCTGTGAGACCCTGATAATGTAGTCAGATGGGGCACTGTTTTAATGAGCAACAGGGGACCGAGTAGCCTAACGTCGGATCTTTCGCACGGTCCACGTCACTGTGCCTCAAAGGGCATCTCACCTGCTGGTCACCCTTAACAGGTGTGCAGGCTGGGATGCCCGCTTGCAAGGCTTCTAGTTGATAGGCACCCTGAGGTGCGGCTCATCTGAGTCTCAGTACATACTCATCAGGCACTTGATGTGTTTGTTCGTGAGCCCAACTTTTGAAGACAGATGCACCCAATTCAAACAAGACAACGACAAAAAAATAAAGTAAAAACCCAGCTCTTTAGAATCGGTAAGTCTCATCTGGGAATGCGACTTCCAGAGTGCACACCAGGCCACTACAGGTTCGTTGAGTTTTGTGCCTGGTTTTTATGAATATTATTTTTATATTACACCTTTTGGCACTTTTTCCAGATCCTGTATTTTGCATCTGCTAATGTTGTAGCACTTTTCACACTGAACCATAACTATCCCTGGATTATGAGCTCCTTCAAGGCCAAGAGCTGTTTTGTTTGATCCCTAGCACGGGTGTCCCACACGTAGTAAAGCCTTCCAATTCTGATTTGCCTCACGAGCTTGGCAAACGACTTAATGTACTAAAGTCTTGATTTCTTCGTCTGTAAAATGGGAACCATAGATAGTACCTCCCTCTTAGGTTTATGCAAATACTTGGTGTGACAATGTCAGTAAAATGCTTAACATGGCTCCTGCAGGTAGTGCTCTGCCAATGTTAACTTATCACTCATTTTTTTATAAATATATTTACTATTTAAAGTGGTTCCGTCTTCAAGTACTCACTATCTTTTAGACACTCTAAAACAAAATTATGGTGACTTATGCTGCAGGTATCATTCACAAAGTAAATAAATATATTAATTTTTTTGAGCTGTCTTTGGAGTTTGCAATATCATGTTCTTATTTTGATGCATTTGCTGAAAGTAACAGTTTGATGGTTTCTATCTAACTATCTGCTATAATCCACAGTTTCGTGACCTTGTGCAGTAGACGGCTGTTTTGTTTTTACAACTGCTCAAGCTTTGACATACAAGATGAAGCAAGATGCCACAAGCAATGCTACCTACTCTGTGGATTGTGAAGATTACGTGCATGTGGTAGAATTTAATCCCTTTGAGAGTGGGGATTCGGGAAACCTAATTGCATATGGTGGCAATAATTACGTGGTCATTGGCACATGTACCTTTCAGGTTAGTGTACAAAACTACAGTGATGGACAGCGACAATATTTCACTGATAAGAAAGGTTATACAAAGTTGGGTAAAATGTTTCTAAATATGAAGAACTACAGAGAAAGACATTCCCAGTAATATATGCCTGAGATTTGTATAAACATTAAATAGTTCATGTTCCCTCTCCCCTCTACACATAGGACTTTTATAAAATTTTCTTACTGCATTGGTTTACATTTAAACATCTCCTTGAGGGCAGCGTCCTTCCTTTTTTTAACATACTTAACCCCAGCTCCCCAAACCTGATCTGCACTTCAAATACCTGACACCAATCAATGCTACTATGATTCAGCTCAGATTTCCATCAGATTCAGTTTCTACCATGATATTCTGAAAAGTGCTTTGCTGGAATTCAAATTCACTCTATCGGCAGTGTTTTCCTAACAGTCTTAGAATGGGGATTGCCTTTTTGACAGGAATGTGGAAATCTTTCAACTCAATTTACGTTTACTTAGTTTTCTCTGAAGGCAAGTGGGAGGCATAAAATTGGGTGCAATGGAACTTGAAGGTTCTAAAATGAAAGAATAAGAACAATGTTTAGTAATGTTTAATTAGATAAAAAAATAACTTCAAAGGGAAGCAGCAATTTATTTCCTTTCAAAAGGTAGTCATTAATGAGTCAAGTCCTCTGCTGCGACTTGGATGAAAACACTTGACTTAGGCAAGTACATTCAATTTATATAGAACATGAAGCTGAGAAGGATGCCTAATGCTTTGAATAGCAGACTTCATTTAACAATTCTTTTTGAGCACCTGTTGTATGCTGTCTCTGCTCAGAATGCAAATATTGTGTAATAGAGTGAATTAATGGGCCAACTTGACCAAGCTAGAATTTAATAAAGATGACTATAAAGTCTTAAAATGATAGACTGCTAGAGCTAAAAGGGAGAACTGTGACTTCTGGTTTTTAGTCACCCGATGTCCATCATGAATCAGTGCAGTGATTAAACTGCCAAAGGAGCTAATTCAGTGCTGTCCAACAGAAGGACAACATGAGCCACAAATATAAAAGTAAATGTTGTAGTAACCATATTATGAAAAGTGAAAACCAGATGAAATTAATTTTTTACGTAGCATATCCAAAACATTTTATGTATACAACCAACATAGAAAAATACTAACGAGATACTTTATATTCTTTTATACTAAATCATTGAAGTCTGGTGTGGAGTTTGCACTGTATAAAGTGTACACATCTCAGCTTGAACTAGCCACACAGCAAGTGCTTAAAACTTAAAAGCCACCTTTGGCTAGTGGCTATCATATTGGACATCACAGCTCTATAGCCTCTGTAAATGGACAGTAATGTTTAATGTGTACCAGTTTTTAGCAGTGTATTAATGATTCAAAGGAGATAATATATTTAAAGAAAGATTTCACAGTGGTATTAAAATGTTTAAAAGTGTCACATAAAAGAGGGATTAGGCTCAGAGTGGTAAATGTATTTTGTATTATTTGTCGGTTCTGTTTGAGTCAAATTGTTGTGTATAGTGCTTTAAGCCTGATGCTGACTCTCCTCCTTTGAGTGTATTCACCTCGGGGGGGATCAGCTATGGCCAAGTATTTGCCATCCATCACTGAATTAGACATACTCTGTATGGTTCCAGAGAGCAAATTTTAGAGCCATGAGTAGAATTTACATGGAAAAAGATCTTGGTTTAATGTTAAAGACAACTACCCTCAAATGGAAGAAGTAGCTAGCTTCCTCTCACAGACGTGCTCAGAGAAGGGTTGTGCAGTGTCCTTTTTCAGATGTTGTATTAGAGATTCAAGCATTCCATGAAAGAAGTGGACTAGGTAAATTTTACAGTCTTGTCTAACTAAAATTCTGTATTTGGCTTTCAGTGGGTGTGGTGGGAAGGACTGCCAATTTCAAATCCTTAGAATAGCCCTTTCATCAACCTGGCTTTGCCCCAACCTCAAATATGCTGGAGCCTTGTATAATGATTTGTATTATAGCAAGTTTTCCAAAGTATCTTAATTTCCTGCCTATACAATACTGCCTACACCCAAACTAAACCCAAAATAGCATTTGTCTGCCTCTACCACACACACACCCTGGCCTTTTAGTTGGCTCGATAGCAGACATTGCTGCCAGGAAAAAAGGTTTCACTGGTAATACATAAAGCTCAGGCTATACCGTCCCTGGTTTTCTTCATCCCACGACCACCCAATAACTCCATATATACTTTGGATAACAAATCACAGGACCTAATTGTCAGCACCATTGTTACAGTAGCAAAATAATGTATGTTTTGATGGTAAAAACTTCCTATTTAGAAGATTGATTTGTCAAGTGTGGGAAAAATAGATGTAACCCAAACTATGAAGTCAACTGTGATTAGGCTTCTAACATTATTTTAAAATTGCTTAGTGGTTGCTGCCTTGGCATATCTGGCTGTTAGCCATACAGTTATTATACACACAAATTATGAAGTAATAAAATTTGACAGTGTTTTTCTTTCCTTGATAAATGCATTTTTATTCTGTTTTCATTTATGGAAAAACTTTTTGCTGTTAACTCTTAAGTTCACCTGAAATTTAAATTTATTTTCAAGGGTTATCTGAGTTATGTAGAGAAAGAGATGTAATATATTTGTGAAGTGACTTCGCGAAGATCACAAAGGCTATCCTGGAAAAATCAACACATCCACTAGATTCGATTAAAGTATACGTTATAAAACTTTTTATTTAGATTCAAGGTGAATAGAATTCTTAGAACCATCCTTCAGATAATTCCATTCCATATAGATATTCTGTTCCATTAAATATCAAGTTTCACCTGCTCTAGATTTTTTCCCTGACATTTTAGAATCCTATAAAGTTTTATAAACGATAACTACAGTCACTTCATACAGAAGATTCCTTCGGCAAATTTATCATGAAATTTTTGCTTTAGTCTCTAGACCCAGTTAGGGTATTGATTTAAATAACAAAACCATGATTTATTTTTAAAATAACAACATTTTAAACTTATAAAATGTATTTTTAAATATGTATTATAAGAATAATCCCCATATACCTACTACCTAGCTTAAGAAATGGAACATTAACCATTTATTTTGAAGCCCTCTGAGGATGCTTCCCTTACTGCCTCTCCTTCTCATCCCCAAGAAGTAACCATGTCTGAAATTTTGTGTTCGTGATTCCTTGCTTTTCTTTATAGATTTAACCATATGTGAGGTGTTGCAAATCAATGTTTCTCATGTTTTAAACTTTATGTCAGTGAAATTATGCTGCATTATGTTCTTCTACAGCAGTTTGTTGCTATGGACATTATATTTGTTAGATTTCCTCCATGTCATATGCATTGTCCCAGTCTGAGTGAGTGTGGTGGGAGGGCGTCCTGTCCAGGGTGGGCTCCCACCTTGCACCCTGAGCTGCGGGAAGAGGCTCTGGCCACCCAGGGCCCTTTACTGGAATAAGTAGGGTTGGAAAATCACTATCTGACTTGTTATTAATCTTTCCTACATGTATGTATTGCTCACATTTATCTCATTGTTTAATATTAGAATAGTTTAGGGCCTTCTTTAGAAGATTGGTGATGTTTTTGTGACCAGAAATATGCCATAGGAGCTTATATATATAACTCATATTTATATCAATTAGCCTCTGGTAAAATTGGGCTCATTATACGTTGTTTTCCTTAGAGTCGCAGTTTTTAAGAACCAATCGATGACATTAAGTGAGGACTTACTATACATGGCCTCCTGATAAAGTCTTCATTATAATGACATACACAGTAGTGTTTGTTCTCCTAACTTACAATGTTTACTATGTATGCTTAGGAAGAAGAAGCAGACGTTGAAGGAATTAAGTATAGAACACTGCGAACATTTCACCACGGAGTCAGAGTGGATGGCATAGCTTGGAGCCCAGAGACCAGACTTGATTCATTGCCCCCAGTAATCAAGTAAGTTTAAAATTATTAAATGCAGTATTCATTAATGTCCTCTGTGTTAAGTGATCTGGAGCCTTTTATGGTTAGAGGTGTTTTTCCTGTTTGCATTTTCCCCAACTCTAGATAGTGGTAGGTACTTTAACATTTGCTATTATTTCCTAATTTAGGCTTATTGTCTGAATTTGTAATTTAAATATGTAGCCATGGCAAGCATGCCTTGAGCACATGTTTGGGCCTAACTACAAAGCTCTTTACCTGAGATTCATTGGAATCATTTTAAGTCTTCACAGATTCTCACTGAGTTTGCCACTTACTGAAAGGACAACTCTGTTAAAATAAATTTGGTTGAGTCGTCAATCAGTCTTACTGCCAAGGTCACATATTTATGTTTAACAGTACATAAAACTGTAGTTTTAATCCTTGGGCTTCAGTTTTGTAAAAGCATTTGAAAAGAATGGTTTCTTTTTTGAGAAAAACCTTAACACTATCTGCTAAGGCCTTCTTCACAAGGGCAATAATATGTCAGATTATTTCAAGTTTCTTACAGAACACTAACTTCACTTCCACAAATGTCAAATCTAAAAGCTATATCTTCTGTTAGTAAATAGTATTTAGCCAACCATAGTTAGCTCTTATTGAGCTAACCTGATTTTTTTAAATTAAGGGATAATTTACATACAATAAAACTCTCAGCTTTTAAGGGTACAGTTTGATCAGTTTTGACAAATGCATACACTTGTGGTGTAACCCACTCACTGGTGATACGTAGCATTTCTATCACCCCGAAAGATTATGCTCCTTCCTAGTCAATCCCGGCACTCCAGCCCCTAAAGCCACCATTGATCCAGTGTCTATTACCAGAAATTAGTTTTGCCTATTCTACCACTTCATGTAAATGGAATGATACAGAATGTATTTTTTGAGTCTGGCTTAATGTTTTTGAGATTCATCCATGTTGTGTATACCAATGGTTCATTTCTTTTTATTTTGGAATATTCCATTACATTGTATAAACATACCGCATTTTGTTTATCCATTCTCCTATAAATGGATGCTGGGCAATGTGCAGTTTTTAGCTATTATGACTAAAGCTGCTGTGAACATTTCTGTGTCCAGCTTTTAGTGGATAATACATGGTTTCATTTCTCTTAGGAGTAGAATTACTGAATTAGAGGGTAAACGTATGTTTAAAGTTTTAAGAAAGTACCAATTTCCATAGTGGTTCTACCATTTTATATTCACACCAATAATGTAAGGATACTCAACTTACTCTACCTACTCTCCAGCATTTATTGTTGTCAATCTTTTCATTTTAACCCTCCTGGTTGGTACCACAGTGACATCTCCCTGATGTCTAATGAGTTGAGCACTTTTTCACATGCATTCTGTTTTCAGTATAAGGAATTTTTGCCTACAGCAAGATTGTGAAGATGTTCGATGTTTTGTTCTAGAAGCTTTTACAGGTTTTGTAGCTAACTGAATTTTGAGTAATCCACGCAACACCAGTCAACATACATATGTCATTGTTAATGCGCCTGTTTTCCTGTCCTTTTAATGGATTTGCTGTATTGTTTCATCTTTTTTGTTGTTGCTCTTGATAAGCTGCCTCAAATCCTTTTTGCAATTGTGCCAATATAAATAATAAATTCAAAACATTAATTAGCCATTAATTTTAAAAATATTTTGAGAGCAAGCTGACAGCACAGTTTTATTTTCAAATAAAGTATATATTTTTATTATAAAAATAATACGTGCTTACTATATCAAATTTAGGATATATAGAAATTTTTTAAATGCCATCTATGTATCAATACCCTTTCCATTTTTTCTTAAATAATTTTATGCAATTTTGATTGAATTGTATATGTAAGTTTTTATACTACTTATTTTGCTTTACTTTTTTTTCTAGTATTTCACAGTAAATTTTTTTTTTTTTCATTTCTGAGTAGTGGTCCATCAAGATGACTGAGGTGTAACTTTGTATCTCTCTTACCATCATTAAATTTTATCTTAACACTTAGAAAGAAACCCTTCCTAATGTTTTCTCTTTAGCATTTAGTTGCCTTAAATTCTGTTCTTTCTGCCTCCTCCCTCCCTCCCTCCCTCTCTCCTCCCCATCCAGGCGCCCCCAACTTGCTACTATTTTTTCATACTCACTTAATGGAGAGTAAACTGTTCACCTAACTTCAGCTCTCTGAACTTTTCTGGTTTAATTAAGGAGAAAAGTGGAACAATGCAATGTTGCTCATAAAGCTTTGTGGGTTGTTGTTTTTTTAATCCTAGTAAAATTCTTCCATTGATTTTCTTTTTAAGTAAAGATACTTTGACTCCTGTAATTTCTTTGTTCTCTGGTGTTTTTACTGAAGTTGCTTTATTTTCTACTAATACCTTCTTTACAAACCCTTTTGCTTGAGATTATTTCTTTTAAAACCTGCTAAAATAGCCTTTGTCTATTTTGGAAGTGAGATTTTGAACAGAGATTTTGAAGTGATTTCTTTAGAACATAACTATGAGGAAACCTGCTTTAGGCGACCCTCATATTACCAATGTTATACACCTTTGTTCTGGAGTTGCCTCTGAGAGGGGATAAATAATTAATACCCCAAACAATAATGAGACAAATTCAAAGGAAAACAATTAGGTAGAATAAGTTTTGTTTTTTAGGGTTTTTTTCATTTGTATGTATAAAATAGAGCATACATGCCCAAAAGAAATATCTATTACTGAGGTTCTCCATGTACCTTGACCCAGTCACCGAAAAGAGGTGTGGTACAGTAGCAGAGATCTACCAACACATCCAGGTCTATAGATTAGGAGCCTTGCTGTTACATTAAATAAATTCATTAGTTGAGGAAAAAATGGTTCACTTTAATGTAGTCAAAACTAAAGAAATTTAGATCTGTATGATATTCATTTACCTAAAACAACTGGAAATAAACTTTTTCAACATATAAAGACAATTTTTATTTCTTCCTCATCCATAATCTGACATGCTGAGAACCTAAAAATTTTAGGATTAAAGTTAAACAAGTTAAAAAAATAGTTGTTTATTGCTTACATTTTATTTTTTAATGTACCATGCATTGATGAATTACTAGCAAATACCTCAAAGTTTAGGGTCAGTACAAGTAACACTCCAGTTTTTAGTAGATATAAAAATATTACCTTTTATAGGTATGAAAATACGTGTACTATCTTCTTTCATCTAATTTAATTTATTTAGAGGGATACAAAAAGTAAGAGGGCTAATGGATAACCAAAGAAGCCAAAGACTACGGTAGATGTGCAACAGTATTTTTAGTACCTAATATTGACCTAGTTAGCATGAAGATACTTTTTTAATTTGTGTTTTATACTTTTAAGAAGAAGTTAAAAATTAAATTCATGATTTATAATAAAATTGTACACTTTTGTTATTGAAGAGACATAGCCAGAGTATACTAATTTTTGTGTGTTTTCAAAAAAATTTTAAGTACCTTTTACTTTCAGTAATGGCTATCTAACATTTTTTACAACAGCCACACATACCCCTTCTGACCAAAAGAAAGCATGATTATGAGTTATGAAAATAGCTTTGGTGACTGGAGGGGGGATTTGCAGGGAGGAGCTGGAGAGCTTTGACTTCCAGAGGCTGGAAGTGGGTTTGTTTTTGTTTCTTTTGCTTCCAGATTTTGTACTTCAGCTGGTGATATGAAAATTAGAGTGTTTACTTCAGATCTTCAAGATAAAAATGAATACAAGGTATGTTGACCAATATAATTTGTAAATTTACAGTTTATTTTAAAACATATTTATTAGTTTCTGTTTTTTTAATTGGATTTATCTCAAAATAACTTGTCATCTTTAAAGTATATAATTTAGGGTCTCGTTTATGCTATTTTAGACTATAGTATCTAGGTTCTTAGTAAGGACTATGGATTATAAATCTGATATCACTTATTAAATTCAAGTGTTAGATAGGCACAGCAAATGAGGGAGAACTAGGAAGTCACAGTGGGTCTAGTGGGAGTGTAATAGATATGAGTGCACCTTGAATACGAGTTGAACTTCAAGGAAACAAACGATCAGTACAGCATAACACAAGGCAGGGTTACCAGCTGGTTAGGAGCAGGGACACAAGAACCAACAGCGTGGGTTTGAAGCCCAGCTCTACCATTTTAGTAACAGTGGGACTTTGGTCACCTTTCCAATCTCTTTGCACTCATTTCCTTATCTGTAAAACGGATAATCGTAGCATGTGCCTCATAGGATTATGAGCATTGATTGAGCTAATTTGTATAAAACACTTAGAACAATACTTGGTACATAGTAAGCTTTATATATGTGTTTTTCATTGGTATAAGAAATAGCCCTGTAAAATAAGTCAGACAGAGAAGGACAAATAGAGTTGACCCTTGAACAACACAGGTTTGAATTGCATGGGTCCACTGTTATACGTGCATTTTTTTCAGTAAATATCTGTACTATTTTCAATCTACTGTTGGGAGTCCAGAGATGTGGATCAGTTTATTGATCTATGCTATTTTATATAGAGGACTTGAGCATTCGTGCATTTTGGTATTCACGACAGGGTGGGGGGGGGGCGGTCCTAGAACCATCCACCAGCAGATACTGAGGGTAGTTAAGTTTTGGGGGAATCAAAAGTTATACATGGATTTTTGACTGCGTAGGGAGTCAGCACCCCCAACCTCCACATTGTTCAAGGGTCCACTGTACTACTGTATCTCACTTCCATGTGGAATTTTAAAAACTTAGAGTAGAATGGTGGTTATCGGGATGGGGGTGGGGGCAATGGGACATGTTGGTCAGAGGGTACAAACTTCAAGTCGTAAGATGAACAAGTTCTGGAGATCTAATGGACAGCGTGATGAGTATAGTTAACAATGCTGTATTATATACTTGAAAGTTGTTTAGAGAGTAGATCTTAAATGTTTTCACCACAAAACAAAATGGTAATTATGTGAGGTGACGGAGGTATTTACTAACCCTATGGTGGTAATCATTTTGTAATATATATGTGTATCAAATCATGAATGTATACCTTATACTTACACAGTGTTATATGTGTGAGTTATATCTCAAAGCTGGAAAAAAATTAAATAAATGGCTCTCAGTTTGAGTTGAAATTGCATCATGTTTTTTATAAGAACAGTATTGCCTTCTTGACTTTCTAATAAAAAAATGAATAATGTTATGAAACAAAGATAAACTATAAACCTTTCCAGTCATTTAGAAAATAGTAAAAAAATATGCTCTAAGCTATATACAATGGGCTATATACAATTGTACAATAGTCCAGTGTACTATGTATTAGCTAATTTAAGGGTACCAGTGGTAGCCAAGTGCACAAATAGAGCACATAATTTTTTTTTCTTTTTTACTCCATCAAAAGCTAATGTGCTAATTACAATTGACATTAAATATTTAATATCGATTTAGTTTGTAGGCTGTGGCATAAGTTTTGAAGAATGATATGGAGGACCTGACTTTATTAAAGTTACACAGGAATGTTTTAATCAAATCCTTTTTTTTCCTCATGCTATATTTCTAAATAGTAAGAAGTTTCAAATAGAACTACTCTATTAATCTCAGAACTGAGATCAAATTTGAGTTTTGGGATGGAACGAAGGAAGAAAAAACAATATCCATTAAAATGTTTAAAAATCTGATATTTGACACATCTGTTTAAGGAGGATTTTGATTATAAAGATTTAAACTAATTGAACCTTGCTTGCTCACATAGTTCTCCGCCTTATATGTTCTTCGTTCCTTCTGTGGCCAGAAGAGGATTTCTGGGTTGTCTTGATTGTGGGCTTATAATACTCAGTATCTCCACTGCTGGCAGTCACATTGAACAAGAGAATAAAGACCTTAGAAGGTGAAGTTCATACTGTATTTATTAGGTAGCAGTGAATGTGCAGAGCAGCAGGTATGAGGGAAATAGTTGAGGAGGACTCTGTCTCAGTGCCCCTAGAAAGTTCTCCTAGCTTTAATTTTTATATAAGCTTTATGTAATAAGTAAGAACGGAGGTGATATGAGGACAGGTACAGTAAAAAAGTGTGTGTGTTTTTGTAAGAAATGCATACTAACAAAGAAAGATCAAGCTAATAGCAGTGTGTTGAATAATCAGCTTCTTTCCAAGATAAACCTTCCAGAAAAGTGGGTGTATAAATCATGCTTTAAAAATAGCAGATTGCTTAAGAAATATTTATGGAAAAGAGAAGCATGCAGTGAAAGCTTTTAAGGCAGCAAAGTAAAAAATATTAGGTAGGAGTATTGTAGATTTTTTTCCTGCGTTCTTACTAACTTTTCCCCTTATTTCAGGTTTTTGAGGGCCATTCAGATTTCATTAATGGTTTGGTGTTTGATCCCAAAGAAGGCCAATCAATTGCAAGTGTGAGCGACGATCATACCTGCAGGTATGTTGCTTATGATACTAGCACGTGTTTAAATTTTCATCTTATTTTAATAAGAATTACGTTATAAAAATTAGAGAAAAATGTACTTTACATACTCCACAAGCTGTTGTAAAAAGAGCATACTTCATTTAAATTGTAAATATGACACACACATGAGTTTCAAAACCAGTGAGTTAAGTTCTCATCCCAGTTTTGGAATCTTCCCTTGCTGACTCATGGGTGCCTCTCTGCCTCTTATTTTAGATTTGCACATTTATGAAATCTAAATATGTATAGTATATTGAGTCAAATTCTCCAATATTGGGCAAGAGCAATAGGATAATAAAAGACAATTGCCATATTATGAAGTTATTTCATAGATCCTGTCTGAGAAGTTAGTGTTTAATAATGAATTGTGAATCTCACTTACTAAAGCAAGACTCATGGGAAACTTAGTATTTTGACAAATTTGAAAGTCTATTAAGTTTTCTGTGTATATAATACATTTCAGTATCACATTCTTCCACCCTACCCGCAATTGGAAGAGATGAGGTAGCTATAACGTTTTAATAGTGCCTGAGCCTGGAGAATATCACAAGTAAAAAACAAGATGAAGAGCCAGAGTGGGAGGTGGAAATAAGCTATGGAGTCAGGAGTGAAATCAGTGAATCAATCATTATAGGCGTGCCAATTGCTTCATTTGCTTTCACAGTACTGTGAGGGGGAAAAAACAAAAAAAAACACTGCTCTACTATTTTGCATATAGTGTTAATGTTTCATAAGGCTATGACAAAATCATTAGTATTTATAAATACTTGTACATATATACAGCTATTAAATATGTGTCCTTTCACATTGGAAGTAAAGGCATTAGCTACTTTTAAAATTTTAATCGTCATAAGAGATCATCTTCTTAAAGTTGTAGAGTCACAGGCCATTATTCTTTTATGTACTGTCTGTTAAAATTTTCATGTCAAGGACATGAAAGATTTACATGACATTAAGATTCTAGGGCCCCAAGTATTACAAAACCAAGTTTATATATAGACCTGAGGAGTGAAAGGGGCCATTTTTAAGATAAAAGATTAGATCACTAAAAATAAATAATGACATTTTAGTTCTCTCACACATGTCCTTTCCTAATCACAAGCATTTGGAATAATGAAACCTGAGGAAGGGGAAATGAGTGTCTTTCAAGCCAGAGAGTAGCCTCTGAGTACTGAACGTGAGCCAGGGAGACGTGGGGTTACATTCAGTGGTCTGTGATGATTTTGTTTCTTGTAGTAGACTTTGGGATTTTTGTAGACTAGTAAAATTGTCCTAAAATTTGGGGGACCAACAGAGAGTTGCCAACGTTTTATTTTGTTAAGTAGCAAGAATTTTAAAAGTTCGACTGCCTTCTATTATTATAATGGCTATAAAAGAAAGAACATTGGTACTCTAAAAAGGACAAAAGGCTTAACTTCAAAGTAAGTCCTTTAAGTTAAATAAATTTAACTTTTTGAAAAACCCACTATGTTGCCCCTAATTGTCTTATTTTGCTAGACTGTGGTTGATAGTGTTGTTGTTCAGCAAATACTTGTTCTCCCTTCCCCTGTCCCATGGAAGGCAAAGATTTTTCCCACTCCCTTGGGCTTACCCATGTGAGTTGGTTAGGCCAGTGTAATGTTAGCAGGCCTGACACAAGCAGACACTTGAAATGTTTGACTTGGTTTGTCTTGACCCACTGTCCTGTCTGCTATAAGGTGAGCATGTGCTAGATAGCTACTGGTCCCAGAATGAGAAACACATGGGAAAGATATGGACCCATCTGGTGTTATGAAATAGAGCTTCCCACAGGCCCACGAGCAAGAAATGTATGCTTATTTTTGTAAGCCAGTGAGATTTTGGAGTTGATAACATCAATGTAGCAATAGCTGGGGAGCTAAATTTAGAATTCATCAGCTTAGTTTGCCAACCAGAAGTAAAGGACATCTCTGATTGGCTATTAAAGTCAAACTTCTTGGGCCAAAAGGTAAGCAATCTAGAGAAGATGGTTAAAAGAAACAGAAGGTTCAAGTAAACCAAGAAGTTTAAAGTAAGGAAGTGTAGTAAGTATCATAGTCTCACAGTCCCAAAGGAAAGAAGGAATTCTGAGGAGACAGGCTGCAATAGAAAAATGTTTCAACTCTCTTTGTTATCTCACAGTATGGAATGGCCATTTACAAATAAAAACACCAGCCAAATGGCAACTGTGTAATTCGAGCAGAGGAGATCGGCATTCACATCCCAGGAATCCTTCCTATTACTGTACTAAAGCAGTGCCCCCTGTAACCTCGGTCTGCATGGTGAAGGTACATTAGTGAAATCCTTGTCCAGTCGTAGTCAAAGCCTGTGTCATCTTGGGAGTAGTTTTATATGCAGGTGATACCATGCTTCAAAAGAGACGTGCTAAATAGAATAACTAGACTGAAGGTGAGTAAGGAAGTACAGGATCTGAACAACATTATAAACCAACTAGATCTAACAGACGTATGAAACACTCCCACATCAGCAGAATACACATTCTTCTCAAGTGCACGTGGGACAGTCTCCAGAAAAAACCGTGTGTTAGGCCTCAAAATAAACTAAATAAATTTTAAAAGGTTGAAATTATAGAAAGCATCTTCTTTGACCACAGTGGAATGAGCTAGAGATCAGTAACTGAAGGAAAACTGGCAAATCTACAAATACATGAAAATTAAACATCTCCCTCTTAAGCAGCCAGTGAATCAAAGAAGAAATCATAAGGGAAATAAGAAAATACTTTGAAATGAGTGAAAATGAAAGCACAATATACAAAATCTGGATGCTGTAAAAACAGTGCTCAGAGGAAACGTTATAGCTGCAAACACCTATATTAGAAGAGAAGAAAGAACTCAAATCAGTAACCTGATTTCACACCTTAAGGAGCTAGAAGAGAACAAAGGAAACCCAAAGCTAGCAGAAAGAAGGAAAAAAAAAGGTGAGAACAGAGATAAACAAAATAGAGAATAGAAAGCAATGGAGAGAATCAGTGACTCCAAAAGTTGTTTCTCTGAATCAATGCCAATTAAAAACATTTTTTTGATAAATTGAGCATTTTGATCTATGCATATTTTATGATGTTTGACTTTGGCATTTCTAAGAGAGACAGTATTATAATCAGCTAGGAGATTTGTGGCCTTAGGGATACCATTTCAATATATCTATCCCCTGAATGGGTTCATAGAGTTTATGTATTTTATTGAAAATTGCCAAATTCTGAATCAGACAGAATGAAGATAGTTCTCATTTGTACTAGTATGTCATCTATCCATTGAAAAGTTGTCACTTGTTTATCTCTTGTTATAGAAAACAAGTAAATGTATGGGCAATAAATTAATGTATAGATTAGTTCATTTAGTCAGCAAATATCAAATGTCTACCACATGCCAGTCATTGTGCTGGGTACTTGGTAATCACTGATTTATTTTTAAACCTGTGCATAATGGTTTCAGAACCATTTCAGGCTTCTCTAAGACTGACAAAAGTATTTTCTATATATGAATTGCAATATTAATAAGTAAATATGTCTAAATAATTGAGTGCTTTACTGTATGCTCACCACTATGTAAATTTACTTAATTTTTACAACTCTGAGATAGGTACCATTTTTATCCTCATTGTGCAAGATGAGGATACACAGCACAGAGAGGCTAAGTAACTTGTGGAGAGGCCATAGCTGTTAAGTAGAGGACCAAGAACATCAGGCGTCTGGCTCACCTGCACTCTTAAGGCATTCACCCTTCAACCTGAGGGACAATCTTCACCTTTATCCTGAGATGGTATTTGTCTCTAAGAATTTGTTAGATCTTTCTTACTTCTCTACATTCTATAATACAGCTATTCAAACTATGAACCAAGGTGTAACTCAATATTAAATGTACTTATTGAAGAAGATAGATTAAATTTTATATAAGGTTTCATCTAGTTTTAGTATTCTGTAATCTGCAAGTTGTTAAGAAAATTGAGCTCTCATTTAAGTCAGTGGTTCTTTATCATTTTGTAACATTTTATAATGCCTATTGTACAATCTTAAATGAAACTCATAGAAAATATCACCTATCAAAATATATAATTATAAAAATTCTTATAGTACCTTAATTGTGTTATACATTTCTACAAAAATGAAACAAAACAGCGCAGTGTATATATACTCAGAGATGACTATATAAGAAGACATAGTGAAGTCCCTTTTTACAATAAATAAATTTGAATACCAGAAAAATATGAAAACAGGAGAATGTAAAGCAGAGACAAGGCTGCCAAGTCACACAATTCCAGGGATTGGGTTTGCATAGAGTACAATGTACATAGTGCCATCTGGAGTCCTGCAGTGTCATAGCCCCAAGCACAACTAGTTTGTTTGTTTTTTTGTGTTTTTTTTTTTTTACAACTAGTTTTTACTAAGGTAAAACTCCTGTGTGTAGTACTAAGGTAAAACTCCTGTGTGTAGTAACAGAAAAAAACTAAGTATGGTAAGTGAAAGAGGGAAATAATGTTAATCAAAATAGAAGTAACAATACAAATTATAGGATGTCAAGTTGAAAAAATAAGGAAGGATAATATTCTTGCAAATCAGCCAGTTTTTTATATGGATAGTATCAAAATAATTCAGTTACGCCATGGGTGGAGTACTTAACAAAGATTGCAAAAAAAGTACTCCTGTCTTGAAATGTGCTCACTGTTTGAATTATTTCTAAATTTCACTTTGATGTTCAAAAGTCGTGTAGAATGTCTAGCATCCCTGTTTCTCATTCACCAAATGCCTGTAGCATCCCAATTATTAGGACAATCAAAAATGCCCCCATGGTGTTAGAACCACCACGTCGTGAGAATCATTGATTTAGATAATAACATGTGACCAGGCACTATTCTAAGTGATTTATATGAATTTAATCCTCTTATTATTATGTTCTCTTATTATTCCCTTTTTACAGATAAGGATCCCAGGCAATTTGCTTCTGTTTCTATTTTAAGGT